TTTGTGAGTATTTTGGACTCATTTTTTTCTATTAGACTTTACATGTTTCCAACTTGCATAACAGTCATAATAAGCATATTTCCAGTATGTGCCTGAGGCTTGCACAGTAGCGTCAACTCAATCATCAGAATCTTCGGTAATCCTCGGTTTTGAACTTTGAACCAAACTTCGCCACAGCTCATGCGGTTCTTGTTGAGTCCTCGGTGAGTCCTCGGTGAGTCCTCGGTAATCCTTGGCAAACTTCGCCACGGGTCATGCGGTTCTTGTTGAGTCCTCGGTAATCCTCTGCAAACTTCGCCACGGCTCATGCGGTTCTTGTTGAGTCCTCGGTAATCCTCTGCAAACTTCGCCACTTGGTTGAACCGGCTCATTCGGTTCTTTTTGAGTTGGACGTGCTACTTCGGCTGCCACGGCTCATGCGGCTCTTGTTAAGTCCTCGGTAATCCTCGGCTATCCTCTGCAAACTTCGACAGTTGGTTGAACCGGCTCATTCGGTTCTTTTTGAGTTGGATGTGCTACTTCGGCTGTGCGTCCTGCGTCATTAACCCGGAACTAAACGTCGATTCAGTTCGATTTGTGAATCGGCTCAACCGGTTACTTCCTGAGAACCGGCTCAAAAGAACGATTCGTTCAAGAACCGAACATCACTATTTTGTATGACTCAAGTTTGGCCTAAATGTGTTTATTTTATGCTTGCTATATTTCCTGTTTAGGCACGTGCTTTAGTTATTTAAATGCATATTTTATGAACTTGTAGTATGAGTAAATAGCTTCATGTATCATTTAGATTACTTTATTGCCTGTGAATACAATGTAACATTGTAGTTGCCTTGTACATGATTTGGCATTGTTTATTGAAAACTAAAACTCTGTATTTCTCCGTTCCCTTGTAGAAACCACACGCAGACACACAATCCTAAGACACTGCTTGAGCCTAACACACAAATCCTGATTGGATGTGCAATAAAGAGTACTGCACCTGATTTGACTAGACTGGAGTTGTTCGACAGCCCCACTGGCTTCAAATTAGCTACCTAAGCATTCCCACTTCCTCCTTTTTAACAGGTTTTTACTGTAAATTTAAATTAAATCTGTAAAACCTAAAATGTTGCTACCGTATATTTTTTACAGTAAAATTCTGGCAAACACAGCTGCCGGCTTTTTACTGTACCTTTTACAGGATTGTTTTTACAGTGTAGTCTAGACATGGAGGCCATAATAACCCGTACCTGGAAGGGTTTCTCTCCGGTGTGAACCAGCTGATGGCGCATTTTAGGATGAATTTCTGGCAATATGTATGTATGTATGTATGTATGCATGTATGAAATCAGTCATTAATTAGGTTTACAAGATAAAGTACATAAAAAGCAGACTATTACTCACCTGTCTGCATTCGGCAAAACCTGTCCACATACAGTAATACTCATTCCATCCTGTAGTCCTCCTTTGATCATACAGCTGAATGGAACAACCTGTGTGCAAGATTTTCATACCAGACATGAGTGCTTGTTCACCCTCATACTTGTTTGCAATCATTTTATTCTGCCATTATTAATGAAATTGGTAACAATTCCAGTGTTTTTTTTTTTCATGGATCACAGATTCTATCAAAAGAAGGGGATGGGGTTGGGCTGGGTTGGGGGGTGGAGACAGAGGGGCATAACTTAAATCATTCGCACACTGGATAAAAAGCGCCGCAGTATGACTTTAAAATTCAAAAGCAAGGTTTTCTATGGGTCTATGCACCAGAGTGCCTGTTCAAAATTATAGCACTTGTTTAAAATTATATGTTATAGCACTTGTATATCATTGCTCTTTTGTTGATTTTGATTGCTTACATTGTCCTCATTTGTAAGTCGCTTTGGATAAAAGCGTCTGCTAAATGACTAAATGTAAATGTAAATCCACTTACGTTTTAAATTAAATTGCATTATATTTGTTGCAGCCGATTTGATACTTTTTTAACTACAAATGTGAGACCTTTTAGTTCACAGCCTCTTGTGAATGCATGACTAAGCTAGCATTTGTAGTTAAAAAGTATAGTTTTATTTATTTGTATTTATTTTTGATTTTTTTTCAGTTATTTAAAAAAAAATTTCCCTGAAAATGACAATTGTTTTGCTAGACATGACTCATATTTGTCAGCTGGAGTTGTGAGGATTTATTTGAAGCTACCTAAGTATGATTTTAGAACATCAAAAATAGTCTATGTTGAGCCCCTTTCTTGCATCAGATGCAGAAAAATCTGGAAATTTTTTCCTCCAAAACCTTAATTTCAGCTAAAGATAGAAATAACTATACATCTTGGATGGCTTGGGGGTGAGTAAATAATAAGTGATTTTTTTGGGGGGTGAACTATTCTTTAAAGGGCACCTATTATGCAAAATTCACTTTCACATGTTGTTTGGACCTAAATCTGTGTTGGCAGTGTGTGTACACAACCACCCTATAATTATAAAAATCCACCCACTCCTTTTTTTTAATCCCCATAAATCATAAGCAGTGTCTCAGAGCTTACTGATCACAGAATCCGTAAAATGTGATGTCACATTTTACAAACCCCACCCACAACTGTTGACTGTATTAGCAGAGACCCCGCCCTGAGTGAGCCGTACACAATCTGCTATGTTTATCTTCACGCTAGAGCATTTAAAAGCAGCATTCAAGTAAGAAATGTCTTCTTATTAAGGCTACAGACGTTATTCAGTCCAGAGCAGTAATTTTCTGCTTTTATTTTATTGTTTGGGTCATATTAACAACATAGAGAGCAGTATAGGTTTGGTATATTATGCTGCTTTCACTTAATATACAGATCTAATATAAAAATGCAATTTCTTTCCCAGCTGTTTAACTTAACAGACATAACCAACAGTTTTTTTTTTTTTTTTTACTTGTGCATGTTTTTAACATAAACTCGTGTGTGAAAGAGAAGTTAGTTTAGTACTCACATGCCGTGTGACAGCCGCTTTATGTGCGTGTGCTTGGGATGTGTGCCCGGAAAAGTTTAAACTGATATGGATTTAAAATGCAAAATAGGCATTTTCAAAATGATATAATAGATGATATGTGGGGTATTTTGAGCTAAAACTTC